TATTGTCTTAATCTTGATTTCTTTAGTTGATCTCTGACGCATAACTTTAATAATTCATATTGAATATATTCATGTTGGCTGATCACTGAGTAGGAAACAGTTTGTTTCATCTTTAGGTCTGGCCGAATTCTATTGACCAAGTTACAATATTTGAGGTTATACTTTGTTTACGATAATGAGTTGATGAGTGTGACTAAATATCACGTGCACTATGCTTAAATGTTAGTTGATTGGAAGTAATAGTCGTCGGTTGCCACATGTCATTAAGTCATACCAGTAATAATGAGGGAATTGTTATGACACGAGTTATTTCTTAGAGGTAATTCACTGCAAATATCTCATCCCTACATGATGGTAGTTGTAATTTGGAAATTTTAGTGATAAAGTCCCAAACCGTAAAACTAGACGACGCTGGTTCACAACCCAGGCACTTGCATATGATCGCCGACCAGTACGACACCAAGGTTCTGGGGTTAATGCCGATTATCTACAGTTACTTATCTGTTTACATACCTTATACATTGTCAAACTAAGTGTTGAATCTATCCAGTTTGTATTATTAAAAAATGCTAGATCGCACAACTTTAGAACCAATATATATATATATATATATATATATATATATATATATATATATATATATATATATATATATATATATATATATATATATATATATATATATATATATATATATATCTGTCCTATTCAACTGCATTGTAATTAATGCCTTATACTATCTTATGACTGAACCTTTGAGAGAGTTCTACATTTCACAACATCATTACTCAGTGAATCATTTTAGGGTCTATACTACTTATTACTCATCATATTTTCTTATATTCTAGTTCATATGACAGTAGGAGATATACTGATCTCGTTCGATCAAGTCAAATCTAATGAAATACAATCAGTGAGTTAACTTATAACCAATGATTGATTACGAATTTCACTTGATCTTCGAATGTACTTTTCCTTTTCCACGTCTCGATATCTTTTAATTCAGCATCATACTATAGTTTCTGACAGAGAATCAAAGAATTTTATCAGTTCTCAAGCGAAAATCCCGACACTATATTTGATTACTGAGATCCTAAGTCAGTCTACGCTAGACAACCAATGAAAACTAGGATGAACTGGATACCTAAGTAGTGTGTATATATGAACGCTGAATGATCAAATTTAGACCTGTACATCAATGGTTCCTGACTTAGTGATCCAGAGGTTAAACATTCCAGTCCAAGACTGGAGGCTCTGGGTTCTATCCCCAGCGGTGGGATCGTGGATGAACAATTTTGAAGATTCCTATACTAGCCACTAGCTTGTGAAATAAAGTGAAGTTCAAATTCATTTTGTATTGTTTGTTTGAATCTTCCCATTGATGTTTAGGAGTGCTAATGATCACTCTCTTTTAGCGTATGTGGATCTTGTGTGTATTGCTTCGATATTGCCTTAAATCAAAGGCATTATAAGAAGAGATGAATGGATGCTAGCAATGGACTTCGGGATGTGAAGTTCTTCCTATTTAGAACTCATCAACTGGAGTGAGCGTTACTGAGTTCGAGTCCCGGAGTGAACATCACTTCTAAGATGCAGGTACATCCAACTTTTGAGCCACTATCCATATCTACTAATGACGTTTTTGGTAAAAATCAAAATTTATATAAATTTATTTTACTGATATGTTTTTGTTTAATTACACATTAGTATTTACGAGAATGATAGTTGATTATACATGAATCTCTTTAACAGACTATATACGACCATCCTATGAGAAAGTAGAAATGTTCGTCAAGTTATGAGTTATGAATCAGAAATCATCATTATCATGCCTACGAAAAAGTATTCAGAATATGCGCTTGATTTAGAGTAGACTTTTGAATGCATACTATTGTAAAAAATTATGGTACCATTCAATCTCAGTGAATTTCTCTCATAAATTAGTGTAAACAATGTACTGGAAAAGAAAAGGTGACTAACTGAAATCAACTCAAATGACAATTAAACGATCCCTTCAGGATTATGGATAGGTCGCATAATCGTACTGCTCCCCTACAATTTTAGTTCAGATAGCTGGCTCGTTTCATTCTAGGAATTCCTCAGAATTTCTGGAAGCAATGCATTCAGATCACTCAGTAATCAATTAGACACATTGAATTAAACCCAATCTACCAGAGGAAATTTAATTAACAACCCGATCAAATAGTCCATTTGGTTACGAGGATAGCTCGATGTAATGAAGCTTGCAAGGAAAACCAACCCTAGACTCAGGTTTTGTGCTATTCGGCACTCGTCATCAAGCTGTACCTGTAATCTTGAGGGAAATGTTGCTCCCTGACGGATTTGACTCCGTGTCACCCGACCTCATATTCAGAGACGTTACCATCGGGCTATCCGGGCCGTGAGTGACCTCTTGTAGGACTGATATGTTCTCACAATAGATTGATCACTAGGTGGTGGTCAATATCATGTATGTCAGGTCCTTCTTAGTGTAGATCGAATGCTATCGATCAAGTTGGGATGTAACCCTTAGTCTAGGTGACTCGACATTGTATGGACTATGTTGAGATAAGATGGTGGTTGGGTGATATTTCCTTAAAAGTATGAAATTATATTCCATTTAAGAAATGGAAAATATCAGTTAAAAAGTTTTTGCCAACTAACAATACCATATATATAAACTCGTATGAACTCACCATTAACTAATAACTAATATCATGTCTATCAGTTTTGCATTGTCAATTGAATTCCATAGTTCAATTTACAATATGGTCATAAAACTGACTAATTCCACGAAGTCTACACTATGTTTCGACATTAGAGGATTGAAGATAATCAGCAATAAGCTACAGAAGTAAATATAATCATACCTGGCAATATATATCTGTAATCTTAATAATGACTTGTAGTATTCAAGCAAGGAATAAGCGTCTGAAATGTTCCTTTAAGCTAAAAGTCAATTATAATCATAATTTAGATCTAAGGTCCCTTGTCGACCTCTTTACTCCGTCCAATAATAAATATATGTTAAAGAATGAAGGACAGAATGAACGAATTCATAAGAGCTTCATTTCAGATAATAAAAAGAGACTATATCTTGAAGAAATTGAAAAATCAACAACAAAACCGTTGTAACATAAATAAAACCTTCAATTCGAACTGGACTTCCAAATGCTCCACTGAAAATCCGTGACTAGAAAGGCAAGATAAGTATCATCGACGACAATTGATTATGTTCGTGTAATAACAAGAATTGACAAGAGTATAAAATGTCAATCCTTAAATACCATTTTAGTTATCTAAAGATAACATGTTCAGTATTAAAAAAACTGAAGGTTCCCCGGAAAGATTATAATCGTGCACTGCTGGTGAGTCTCATACCAGGACAGAACACTTATGCACTGTTCCATAACTTTTAATATTTACATAGCTAAAGTTATTCTGTAACATAAACCTTCTTCAAATATCTTCTGAAATGTAATAGAATCTCTAAGAATAAACCTTTTTGGAGGTACTTTGTTTTCTGATATTAAAGGTTTAGTTTTGAAGTATATGTTGATGATGTTCTCTAGAAAGGGAATGAAATTTTCACAACTCAACCATTCATCTCAGAGAATATAACACCAAACCACAAATATTCTCAATTATCTTCAGTTTCAAACTTATATTTCATCGGCTTAAATAACTCTCTTAACTACAAAACTAAAACTTAATAGTTATCTTGTGATCATGTCTGCTTGAATAACTTGCACTTTCTCCAAACCATCTAAGTTCGCATAACAGGTACTTCGCAATCACCTTCAACCATAGAGTGGTATTTAGTTTTATTTCTTTGTGGGAGTTCAGATAGTTATGTAGGACTATTATCATTAATACAATAGTTGTTAAGTCATTTGAGGTGGGATGGTCTCTAAAGCTGATCCCAATGACGAAATAATCTTTTTATCATAGATTGACGAAATTCGCAAGTACTTGACAAATGCTTCATCACAATTTGGTATTCCTCAACAAAATACACTTACAACTATTTGTAAAAAGTCATATATTGACGACTGAATAATAATCAGAGAGGGGTTTTATAGATATTATAGTAATTTAATAGTTGAATTCATGAGTCAATTGAAGCTAGACCACCATGGAAAACCTGGAAGCACCGGTCTAGAGGTTAAGCGTTTGCACGCGAGACCGATAGATCCTAGGTTCAAATCTCGCGAAGCGGGATTATGGATGCACATTGCTGAGGAGTCCCACATTATGATGAAATGGCCGTCCAGTGCTTTCAGGTTTTCCATAGTGGTCTATCTTCAATCGACTCATGAATTCAACTATTAAATTGGAAAATACATGGTAAATATACGCTGATTAATCACTGTATAATAAGGAATGTTATTTCCATCTGGTCTTATGTGCTAATCAAATCCAATTGTTATGTAGACACTGGTTTCGATAACTCAAAAACGTATGCACTATGTTCTCATATTAGGTGATTAAAGTCAACCAGTAAAAATCCTAGTCCAACGTACATCTAGTGCAAACTGAAAATATACATCAGGGAGTGTTTTCATTAGTAAGGGAAATCACTCTTCTTGTCTGATTCAAACAAAAATCATCTACTGTCATATTCAAATAAATCATTATGATATAATTCCTAGTGATCCTGGGTTCAAACCCCGCGGGTAGGATCGTGGATGTACACTTCTAAGCAGTCCCCTAATAGGACGAAAAGGCTGTCTAGTGCTTCCAGGTTTTCAATAGTGATGTAGCTTAGATCAACTCATGAATTAAACTACTAAAATTACTAAAATCTTCACAAAACCCCCCTTCTGATAATCATTCCTAGTTGGCTTGAAAACTCATGTGTACCATTATCAATCTGATCACTATAGATACACCTTTTACTGATAAGATTCAAACAATCAGATACCTTTAATGTCGAATGTTTGTAACCATCAAATATACATAATATATACATTATTAACTTGTAAAATGCACATACTTACTTGATCTTGAATCATTCGATACTTTACAAGATGATAGTTTATTAATAGAATATTTATGCTCTTTCATGACAACAAATAATTAACAATTTCAATTGTTGATATTTTAATAAACAATCAGTGTAATCACTTAATTTATACTTTCATTCAATTGTCATTATTAGGTTGGAAACAAAGTTTCTATCAGTTAATCATTCAGTCAATAGAGGGGAAGGGGGGAGGGAGGGTAGAAGGGTAAATATTGATATCATTTTTAACTAAGGAATAAAGGGGGGCGAAATCTAACTTCATGCATTTGTCTGTTGTTGTTTTTGTTTGTTTGTTTTTTGTTGTTGTTGTTGTTTTGTTTTTTACATGATACATGAGAGTCAGTTGAACAATGTAACAGCATTAGTGATACTACTATACTAAGACTATAATGTATATCCAATCATGAAGTGATTCAGTGTGTATTGTTTTAATCATAACTTTCAGAGAGGGGAATGTATTCCATTAAATAAAGTCAGAGAAAATTCCATAATTTTATAATTCCGATTGGTAGATTTTTACAAGAAGTAACAAACATTAAAAAGGGAAAGAGAAAAAAGTTATGAAATGATTATTTGAATAGGTAATATTGTATACCTGAGACAGTTAATTGATCAATAGAACGAGTTAATTGAAGCTAAACCACTATGGACAATTTGGAAGCACTGGATGGCTGTTTTGTCCTATTGTAGGACTCTCTAACAGTGTGTATTTATGGTCCCACCTCATGAGATTCGAACCCAGGACCTATCAGAATCAACTTAGTAACATAATAAATATGTAATCATTTTTTGGGAACTTACAACTATATGGTACTTATAATTAGTTTTAGGTAATACTAGTTAAGATGATAAAAATCTGCAATATTGTATGTTTGATTATATCAAGGAATTATCAACAGAAAATATGAAACCTTTTAAAACTTAATTACTTACGCCTGTTGCACCTCATGGAGGAGCATAGGCAATCAACAAGCACTCACCATCCAACTCTGTCTTCGACAATCCTTTCCAGTTGTTTCTAGTTGCTATTCACCCTTTTCATGTCTACTTCGAATTTACGACGTAGTGTGTTTTTCGGCCTTCCTCTTTTCCATTTCCCTCAAGGATACCAGGTAAGTGCTTGTCTCGTGATGCAGTTTGGTGATTTCCGTAATGTATATCCTATCCACCTCCATCGTCTTCTCATAATTTCCTCTTCAGATAGAAGCTGGTTTATCCTCTCACATAATAGGCTGTTGCTGAGGGTGTCCGGTCAGTTAACATTCAGTATCTTATGTAGACAACTGGTTGTAGTAGCTCTCCACGTTTCAGCTCCATACAGTAGGACTGTCTTGACGTCCTTATTGAATATTCTGTGTTTGATATTGGTTGACAGTTGTTTTAAGTTCCGTATATTCGTCAATTATAAGAATGCGGCCTTTACTAATCCTTGCCTTTACGTCTGCATCAGGTCCTCCATGTTCATTGATGATGCTACCCAGTTATGTGAAACTTGTGAACGTTTAAATGAAGCATTTTTTAGTTTAAAAAGATTTGGGGATTGTTGACTTTTATAATTTTCATAGTTTAAAGTGTCAACTATTCTTAGGTTAACATTAAGAGCGGGCTTCTAATGGTGGACATGTCTGACTTCAATTACTCACTAGTAACTAGCTTCAAGACGTAACTCCTAGAGTTCTAGTGAAAAGTTCTGACCAGTAAATTGTTAACTTATAGAACGTGAGTCAGCTTTCCCCCACGGGTAATAGGTGAGGGTTGCACAATATCGTGAATTTATTGAAGTTAGACAAGTACACCACTGGATGCCGGCTCATGGGTCTAGAGATTAGGCATTCACACACAAAACTTAGGACCTTAGGTTTGATTCTTAAATGCGAAGTGGTAGATTTAGATTTCCACGGAGTCCCATACAGGAACGAAATGGCCACCCAGTGCTTCTTAGTTTCCAACAGTGGTCTAGCTAAGATCAGTTCAATCTCTAAACTATGAAAATTACGAAATTCGACAACCGCCAAAACTTTTTAAACTAAAAACTACTTCATTTAAACGTTCACAGGTTCAATGAATAGTAAGTGTAGTTTCTTAAAACGTTTCATATTTTCTGTAAACAGGTACTTGATTTAATCAAACATACAATATTGCAGAATCTATAATCCGTTCGTGATTTAAACTCTGAAAATCCCAAAATCTCAACAAATCTCCCTATACTGATAGCTTTTTGATGGATTGAAGTTATAAATGTAATTGATTGGGATCATATACCGATTGACGTTAGACCATCATTGAAAACCTGGAAGCACTGGACGGCCGTTTCGTCCTATTGTGGGACTCCTCAGCAGTGGGCATTCACGATCCTGCCTCGCGATTTTCGAACCCAGGATCTATCGGTCTCGCGCGTGAACGCTTTCAATTGTTTCAGTTGATTCATGAATTCAACTATTGAAATTACTATAATGTCCACAAAAACCCCTTCTGATACGAATATTTACTTGAAAAGTTAAGACGTAAAAGTGCTGTGTAATATTCATACAATTGATAGACCAGAAGTTTGAGATAACCATCAATCATTCGACTGAATAACTAATAAGTAATCGAAATACAAATCATTCATCCTTATCTAACATCGGTGAGACTATAATTTATGAACGAATCAACCAGATTTAGGATAACAGGTCTTGAATTTCGGCGCGAAATTCACGCATCCATTTGGTTAAATAGACTTTTGGCACTATAGATTATGTCAGTTCGTGGATATACTTTCTCTGTTCAATACTTTTCTCATATGAAACTAATCTTCATAACTTATTCAGCAAAATCATAATCATTTAATCATTAGTGACGCAACCGAAAATAAGCTGTTAGAATTCGTGACTGGTGTATTACAACTGTCGAATGCATGATAAGTATCAACAGTAGTAGTGGATTACAATCATTCGATATTATGAATTGAATCTAATTAACAATGTAAACCGCTTCACACTCAACATAATTACGTGAAATGAATGCACTTAATTAATACATTTTAATTCCTGTTGGGGACATGGGTGAATGATAGCCCAAATATGTCTAGACATGTCAAACAATGATGCAAAAACCAGACAATTGCGTATAGTCGCAGAGTCAAGTGTTAAGTGAGAGATTGTGCGTGAAGTACGGTATTGGAGGAAGTAAAGTAGCTCAAATCAATGCTCTTAGTCCACATGTCCTCGTCTAGAACAAAGCGACAAATATATACATACTTATGATTTATGTACATAATGATTCAATCTTAACCAATACACCACGTATATACCGCAAATATAACATACCTGGGCAAGCAACTGTGCCAACTATTGAAGAATCCGTCTAATGCCACATAGTTTTCACTGTACGTTTACGACGAACATTGATTTCTCGTGATAAATACTTATTTTTAATGATGTAAGTTATTCTGTTTCTTTTTACTAACTACCAGTGGAAACTAGGACGAATGTCATATCTTATATGAGATTTATCATTCAAACGTACCTGGATTCCAGTGCTGATGTTCACAATGAAACCGAAACTTTGTACTCATTATTAATGAGTCACGATAGACTCAGGAATACTCAATATTACTCAGTAGTCTAATCGCCTAAGTTGTCAGTTTTCGAATCTTAGGTGTATATATTAACACTGGGATGCTTTGCGCATCAAAGTTCCAAATAGAACGAAAATCTTTTCCTATATTTCACTAATGAATACATTTCGAATATGCATGTCGCTTATGCTGGACAATTAGGTATTGAATTCCCTAAGAATATTGGAATGGAAGCATCTTTGTTATACTATTAAATTATTCAATAAAAAGAATATATTCTTTTATTAATGATACGTCCGCTCCGTTTCATCCGGAATTGGGTGGTACCTTCACTGTACGACCCTTGTTATTACCTGTGCTCAGTAGAAAACTAGATAAGATCTAGAGATAAAGTCGATTCGCCTGACAAATATAATCTGAAGAGATAAAATTAAGCATTTGATAATGTGGTACGTGCTACTGATGTCGACAGATATGAGTAGAATATATCATCAATTGAAAGTGTAATGCCTGGTGGAAGAAGATCGAAGAAAAGAGAACGAGAACAGGAATGATTGGTGTGGAGACGAAAGAACAATTAATTTTGAGACGATTGATTGACATTTTGTAAAATGAATTATTTACTGTGTGGTTCTCGGATTGTACAAAGAGATTCTGTAATTTTGTGTTCAATTACATTCGATCGTCCTCACTTGTGTTCTCGTTCATCGCAATACGTTTAACGCTCATTCTTACTGTATGGTTATGAAAAACAATTTTCTGTTATAGTTTTAAGTGTTTTGAGCAGTTCATTTCAGTTCAGTTAGCCGCCCAATGAAGTGAAAAGGCCCCATGGCTCTGCCGGTAGAGAAGAGCATTGAAAAGGCAGTGAGGCTGGACACTAGAGATTATACAGGGTTTATGATATCAGTAGTATGGGCAATTAACTTGGCCCACACTATGTAGTGAAGACATATTCTTATTGACCCACACTACTCTTTTCCTATCACTTTTGTGAGCTTCTGTGCAAACCAAACGCGCTGATGATCTACTATTGTGTCCGCCAGTTGAGACGTGTAAACTTTGTATACTCCATATGCATATATTCGAATGCAGTTATTAAAGATACAAACATCCTAGTGATATACATGGGTGCGGTTGCTAATATGCTGTACTTGTGATTACAGGAAGCGTAGGCATGTGTACACCTCCTACGAATACATATAGACATGGAATTTCCCCCTCGCAAGTATACGATACATGCATATATAAAATAAACCAAAGCTCATACACTCCACAGTAAACACATAGGTATAGATGCGAACGCCCGGGCCCCCAAGTCCAGCAGAGCTTTCACTGGATGAACATCGAGTATTCAAACCAGTATGTAAGTAAGTCATCATAGACGATGTGCTCACTTCGCGCTCTTACCACAAGGCGATTTAATATCACCCACTGTACACTATTTACAGCACAGCTTACAATCCACGCTTTCACCTGTCCCTAACAGACCTTATGGGCCATTCCAGAATTGTTTTTTCAGACACCGAAAGTAAAATTTTCTCCAATGCCTCAGTCGTACTCCAAATTCAAGTTGACCTCTCTTCTCATGTAATCAAGGTTAAGATAGATTGGATGATTATCCCAATTTTCATCTGACTTCAAAGTGGTTAATCATTCCGGTCTCTGTTGTGCCGCTCGCGCTAGTTCAGGGAGAAAAGATCACCCCCTATCTAGGTATCACAACGCGGAAGTGCAAATCAGACTTTGACCCTCCCCCCCCCGTTTTGAGCAGTATACAAAGGTAATTTTACTGCTAGCACATTATATTTGAGTTTAGAACATAAACCTAAATATCACACTCTTGATTCCAACTAGCTTGTCCATACAATATGTTTTTACCAATTTTTCTACTCTACATTTTCATTCATGCTACAATATGATCGAAATAACCTTGCTGAGTGACCACCTATTATGTTATTGAACCAATCAGTACAAAACAATAAATCAATTCACATTGTATGGTTGGAAAACGAATATAAAGACTGATATTTTTTCTTCTAAATAACGAATGCTTTGAAGTCACAGGGTAGATATTGTCTTCTGATAACGTCTCGAGGACAGTAATCGTAGTTACTGTTGATTCGTATATCATCAATACAAATCAGTCTGGATTGGTCGCATAATAACTAAACTACACACCTATACACTAGTATGTGTTCGCATGATTCCTGTATTATGTAAGATGAATTTATAATATTCATCTTATGGGTACAAACCACTCGACTGAATTAACATTTTAGTCACTAAATGATGAAGCTATGCTATATTGACAGCCTGGAGCAACTCTAAAAGTGAAATTGTATCCGATTACTACATTACGAATAAACTTATTAATGTTCATGCTTGGTTCGTCGATATTACAATCTCATCCATTTGATTTAAAATCATTTTACTTTTAAAGATCTTATAAGCCTGAAGGTGATTCTCTAATCATAACCATATTGTCATATCATTACTAGAGGGAACACTGATTGTATGGTCAATGAAATGGCACCTACGAAAGACGATGAATTGGTTATAGCTGTACCTTGTAAGACGACTACCTATACACTCTTCAGTTAGTCATATAGATAAATTTCGATGTCACAAGATATGCATGAAAGAATAGATTTTCTTTATCGATTAGTTCACAAATGGCCTGGTACGGCCGAGAGTGGGGAGAGTCCGCTCTCCCTCTCCAAATGCTCTTACAATGCCACGAGTATATAGCCTCTGCCGGAGAAGTCCTACTCATTGCCTTCTATTGACGGTGTTGTTTACGGAATCGAGAGGACGAAAAGCGAATTTTCGACGCTTCAACCGAGTTGGTGGATATAGAGGATCTACCTAGGGGAGTTGGAAAACTCTAATTCCTAACCAAAGATGCACATGGGCTCCATGATCCTGAAGGAACAAATTGAGTATGAACCAATCGTTGAACACCGACTACCATGAGACTGCACCTCCTTACGTTGCTCCACTGCCTTGTGGATTAGACCTTTAGGCCGTAGGCTCCGAATGTGCCTCCCTCAGAAAACCACCTGCTTCAGTTTGAGCACCCGAGCAGTAAGATAGCCCACACACAAATCGAGTGGTTCGTGTGGCGCATATGCATTCGGTGCCCCTTTTAGAATTCATTTTGATAATAAACTCTATTTTAAATGTTATTGATAATCTTCTGTATTGCTATACAATCACATAGTCTCTCCCCATTACATCCACCGTAATTATTCAACTATCAAAATATTCGTTATACATTTCTATATTTTAATCTTGAATATTTTTGCAAGACAATATGTTATAAACTAGGATTTAGTGAACCGATGGCTGAATAGACAGGAAACTCATCTTTCAATCAACCGAGGTCTCAGTTTCAAAACGCACTAATTCATCTACACCGGCTTCGACGGCCTATAATATCAATAAACAGTGACGACTCAAAACAGATTGCACAACTTTATACTTAATGAACAAGTGGTATTTTCTATCAATTCAAAATTAGTTACCATCATAACAGAACTCGGAAATGTTAGTATTAACTTATTATTCATACGTTTCAAATAAACCATCAGTACAAGCCTTGTAACGGTGACACGTAATCAGATTTAATCAACACCGTTTCTCTATAATACATAATGTTAGACATCTTTTAAGAGGATTTGTACAATATTTATAAGAAAAGCGCATATAAAGAATAACGTTAAATGTAACAACAGCAATCACGATCACTATCCGTTCAATTCATATATCTACAGAAGACTAGATGAAAACACATCGTCAGTTAGTGAAACTCTTATATTGATTTCCTTTCGTTGCTTTATTGTGATAGCTACGACTAATTCATATTTGTGCTATGTTTGTCGATGTTCCCAACTACCTGACAGTTCATTAACTATACAAAAATATATATGTGAAATAGTTCCTGGAACATTTCTTTATACACCATTGATATTATGAACCGACCAAATTTAAACAACTATTGAAATCCTGGAAGACCGTTTCGTCTTAGTACGGGACTTCTTTGCAGTGCGTGCCCACGACGTCTCTACTGGGGATCGACCACAGGACCTTCAGTTTCACGCGCGAACACTTGGCTTCCAAGCTGCTAAGATGGCACCCAGTCGTTTGTAGGTCTAAATCCAATTAGTTTGAGACATTGTGTGACCATCTTCCATCCTAGAACGAAACAACTGTCTGGTTTTTCGTGATACCCAATTGATATCCTAGGTCAGCTTGTAATGTCTATAATGCTCATGTCATATCTAGAGCTTTAGGTCCTTAATATATTATGTATATATAACTTGAGCACTCGAACGCTAGAACCCTCCCAAGTCGCAAATGAGAAGACAAGTGAAAGGTATGCTATCGCAAAGTTCCAATTATGGTACAAAACAGTCAGGTATTTATAGTTTTTAGTAAAAACGAAATCATCATTATAGTCCTCCAATAGGTAAGCTCCACGTAGGGATTCTGGAGTATTCTTCCAAAAGATGGTTGGGTCGAATATCTTCAGAACTTTCTGAGTTTCTTAGGGCTTCCTCGAGTTCACCCGTGAACTGTCCTCACAGTTTAATAATCTCCAAAACCCCTATATTGGTACTTTTCATTATTCTATTCGAAAAGCTTTCATATATAGCTTTTACTTTCTGCACGAATAACTAATAGATAAATGGTCAGTAACCGATCATGACTATCTTTTTAAAAAATATCCTGTTGATAAATGAACACTAACTCAGTTGAACAAACAGTAAAATAAATCAGGTAAAAGAATGATTTCAGAGAAATAATTAGCACACTGATCAAGTTAACATCAGAAACAGTATTTAAATAATGCACTTGACAATATACAATCACAACTATTCCAGAGACATTAGACGTAGAACTCACATTTGAATTAATCTTGACTAGCATTGAAGTCCAGTTTGACGCGCATTTCACCCTATTTGGGACTTGTCACCACATTGCATAAGCAAGTGACCATCAAGACTCAATAGGTAAGTGGATAACGTGATGACGTTTAAAGCGAACGATATTGAGTTCGAATCCCAGAATGAACATCAACTCTGAGATGTATGTAAATCCAGCTGACGAGTCCAAGAATAGAACCATTTACTGATTATTATTATTATTATTATTATTACATTTCTTTATTAAATTAAATAACACAAAACCTGTTTAGCATCTACATAAACATAAATACAACTAGAAGTAATTTATTAAACAATTCACATTTCCAAAACATGATCTGAACTAGTTTAAATAGTGTATCACACTACATTTAACCAATAATTAGTAATACATAGTAATTATTGTATTTTTCATCTAATTTATATTACACTGATGAAAGCTAACTATTCATTGATGGTTAGTGATGACAAACTGATACGAAGGGAAAACGTTATAAATACACACAGGAATATATACTTATATATATATAACACATTTTTCCTGTGAATGTAGTGCTCCGCCAACCTTCACCCTCTCCAGTGGGAAAAAAAACCACCTCACCATCGACCACGTTTACTCCAATCTCTTGATTTCCAATTAAGTAATTTTGCATCAACACGTAAATTACGACGTTGCATAGCTTTTTGATGTGCTTGTATAAGATCACGTGATAAATAGATAACATGTTGTCCTTTCACATAGTATAATACATTTAAATGAGATAAGGTAGCAATTACATCATCTCGTTTAATACATGTTCTATCAACAATATCACTAAAATCAGTATAGAATTCGAAAAGAGAGAGAGAGAAAAAAGAAACACTATCAGACATGTTGTTTTGACACTTTCTTATTACTATGCATGAATACTAATGATAAACATGTTACACAGTTTAAGTTTTTATATACTTTAAATATAGTAATGATTTATAACGATAATAATATTTACTTTATCAAACATTATACACTTCTCAGTACAAAATATTCAATATAACAAAGAAATCCCCATTTTCTAAGTAATCAACTTGTGAATACTGAAAAACACATGTATGAAAAAAGTTTGAACGATGCATATCTGTTATTTGCAATTATAGATACCTGACCGTTGCTGCAACCTTGACGTGGTGGTCGTGCTTGCCTATCGTGATGAACCAATAGAGCTATATTGGCTAGAACAATCGTTCCTCAATGTCCTACCATGTCAGACAGGTCGGTTTAAAAGCGGTAAGACTAAAAACAACAAACCCAAGGTCCGAGAACGAAGTCGTACTACTGACTGTACAGGTTTGACAGCAGTAGGGCGGTTTCTTCAGACAAACAGCATAACAGCGATGCTGCCTTCCCACAAGGAGGGGTGAGGTTAGAAAAGTTCGACCCTAAAATGCACATCTCGCCTTATCCCATGGATATCCGTCTCCTGCGCTAAGGTCTCGACAAGTACGGAGCTAACACGAAAATTACTCATAAAAAGGTCGTGTGTGACCGACCTCAAGCAGTTGTCCCTTGGGCACTGCGGTCATGCTCTCAGGTCACTAAGACCACGTCTAACCCAATTTCCTTTTCACGGACTTATAGAAGAACCCTTCCACGATGTGGGTAACCAGGAAACGATAACCGCACTCGTACCTCTAACAGCACTCTGACTGATTTGCAATTATATGAAAATATTACTTTCATGACATTTCTTCTCATCATTGAATATATTTGATATATGAATTCTATGGTAATCACCTTTAAGGTTCGCCTAAGAAAACAGTTAAGGGGGAGAAAGAAAATATGCAAAGTACAGCCCGACACATATGTACATCGATCTAAGTTGCCATAGCCAATTAGCATAGCGAGATAAGATCATTTCAAGTCAAATCCCAGAGTAGTAGAAGTAATAACAACATTAGTAGTAGTAGGAAAGATTAGGCTTAGAAGAAGAAAAATCAAGGTATATGGCGATTTCTGGACCCAGATTCCACAAAAAAACAAAGAGTAAATGCAACTGAGCCATATCACACAAATTCTGTAACCATTTGTCACAATAATCACAGGGGCCTCAATCAGGTGGTAGGTCATCTATACCTGCTAACATGATTTAATTTAGTTGTCAATAATTTCACGTCTTAATTTGACCTCTCTCCTAACTTTCTTTCAACTTACCCTTACACTTTTAGAATTGTGACACTTACTTGAATTTCCCAATAAGATTTGTAATATATATGTGAGCAAGTTCACATAATTATTGAACATATCTAGTCAACTAAAACAAGAAAATTTTACACCAATAACTAAACATTTAAGAAAATTATGACCCGGACGTTCAGGTAAACCATCGCTTATTTAATATTTGAAACAATACAAGATCTTTTCACTTTAGTAGAAGTATTGAATTCTCATTTTATTAAATGTAATTGTCAATATTAGTATCTGATAGTATTCATTTCGATTAAACTGAAATAGAAGATTTTTAATCTTCTTTAAACTATGAATTATAGTCAACTTTATGAATATTCCATTGTAAGTGTATTGTGGTGTATGCTACTTATGTCGACGGACATAAGTAGTATATAACACCAAGCAAAAGTGGAAGGCCTGGTAGCAGAAGGTTGAGAAGATCGAATCGAAGAGAACGAGAACAGAGAGTAATAGTTATAGCAATAAGAAAACGGTGAAGTTTGAGACAATTGATGGGAATTTCTTAAATGAAGTATTGGATGTATGGTTTTCACATTTGACAGAAGAACTCTGTAATTTTGTACCAAAATACATTGATTGTCTCCGTCTATATTCTCGTTCATTACAGCATTACCTGACCTAAAAGTTACATACAGTCCCGTAGCCAAGAGACCAAGGGTAGGGAAAGTCTGCTCTCCCTCTTTAAATGTTTACATATGGCTAGGTGTATAGTCATTATCAAGGAAGTCTTATTCACTACCTTCTCGCGGATGGGTTGTTTACGAAATTGGGAGGACGAAAAGAGAATGTTTGGCGCTTTAATCGTGTCCGTGGGTACGGAGTATCCACCTAGAGGATTTTAAAAACTAATTTCGGACCAACAGGGCACATGGAATCCAGGATCCTTAGGGAACAAATGGTTTGTGAAACTATTTTTGGTAACTGGCTACCATAAGACCGCATCTTCTTTCGTTACTCCACTGTCTTGTAGATCAGACCTCTAAGTTAAAGGCTCGTGGAGTGGCCCCCTGAAAAAGCCATCTGCTTCGGTTTGGGCAACCGGGAGGTACCCCAGTCCTCACAAAATGTTTGTGAGGCGCATATATATTTTGCTAACCCATTGTACCAATGTTTATGTTTAAATAAATAGACAAAACTGGGAGAAGTAACAAAAATTTAAATTACCCTATTGAAAGCTTATTATTTGAATATTAATGACCGTGGTTAGGAATCATGGTTAAAATTTATTTGAAATAGTTACTTTAAGTGGGAGTTACCAGAGTTAAGCACTTTCAACACATTTATAGTGAATATACTTCTTTCTTGTTTGACGATACTTTAACTCACTTGAAGTATCCAGGTACTATAATCCTGTTTAATTAAGATGTTAGAATAGTGCACTATCCTGAGTACGAGTAACAATCAAAAAACCTTTTGGATGTGCTTCTCATCTACCAAATGAGAAACACTTGGTTAAATCAACAACTTCGCGATGTAAATCTACGACTGAGGTTGGGAACAAAAAGATTATCTAGATTTTTCCACTTTACGTTGTTTGTGAAACAGGCAAAAGGTCAGATTGCTTTGGAGTAAGTGAAAATGTTAGCCATTAATCTGATAAGATTTAATTTCAGTTTTGAAAAAATATACCCTTCGAAGACAGATGACATGGGTAGTTGACAATTATTCGATCAAGCATGTATGCGAAGAATTTCTTTTAAAAGACGAAACCATCAAGTGGGTAATGTTGTCGGAAGTAACTTAAAGATGGTAAATTGTGCTAGAATATGAGTAGGTCACAAATGTAGTCAAACCAAAAAACACTACTAGTTCGTAAAGCCATAGACGTTTTGTTTGGGCTAGATAGGTTTCCAAGTTGAGGTTTGAGTAGATAACCGTTAAAAAAGTTCGAGATTAATTGAACTGATCTAAAATCGATTCAGTGGTATAGGTGTATGGTCTTTTCATCTTCGAGGCCGTGGAAACAGTATTACAACACAATTCCCATTTCTCAATCTCACTATCTTATTTTTGACACACCTTGTTTCTACGATACTTCAAAAGTGTGGCAACACTTGCCTCAGACCCTACTTCATATATATTCATCCTTTTGGTCACACTAGTCAATAAGTAGTTTTCAGTCGGGTTAACGTCAATATTCCATCACCTCAGGAGTTAGTGCCGTTAATCTAAATGGTTTGCCCAGGACAGGGCTGGATGAAGTGCTAGTAGATGGCCTATGTTTCTCCACAAAAGGTAACAGGCGTAAGTAGGTAAGTAAAAAAGGCCTTGAGTATTTTGATTTTAGTGATAAGAGTAGTTATATTTTATCGGAGTCCTGTTATTTGAAATCAAACCCACAAGCATTGAAAATAAAGGTGGGGTGGTCGAACACACATTTACACAAAAGAAATGGCTGATGTAAGAGAAATCAACACATCTCATTCAACCCATGGTCTCACATGAAATTCGGAAATCCCATGAGAGAATTATTGGTAAAGACGAATTTTCGAATACATTGGAAGTTGCTAGTTAGCAGTGGAAAAGTAAAGCAGAGATGAGAGATTTCCTGAAGCGAACTATGGGCAACTGGTGTCAAAAAATCAAGTTATACTATACTTAAGTCATAGAATTAATTCAACTTGCGAGAAGATACATAGATACAATTAATGAGTTTAATTACTTTATACTTAATGCTGGATCCTGACCAGTTTCTGTTGCTTTAGAGTTTAGTAATAATTCAAGAATTGTTTGAGCCCAATAAGAGCGATAAGATAATAGACCCAAATCACTTAGCGGTTTTTCAGGTGATCCGGATTTACCTTCAATTTTGCTCAATTCATAGCCTGAATAAGAAAAATATTAACACAAAATATTCGGTTAATTAGTTGTTACTACAACTACAACTTTAACTGATGTTAAACAAATGGTCTACCCATGAAAGTGAATCGTCTAAGTACGATCACTTCAACATCAATGTACCAACATCACCATAAATTACCATGATGACTAGATTAAAACCAAGGGATCATAATTAGTTTTTTTGCCTCATTTACTGAACATTGAGAAAAATCTGTTCGAAAGTAGTGTTCAAACCAACGGGGTAATAACTGTTGAAAAAGAAACACAAGACATATAAAATGCATCACTTTACTTCAGTAAGATTACACCAACTAGACCAGCACTGAAACGTTGTGAAGATAAAAGTGGTTTGATCAGTGTTGAATAACAAAACTTCAAAAGTGATAAACAGACTCCTCCCATAACGAAACCACCTGTTTGACTAGATGGTATATAAACGTATACAAGCAGAGACAAAGATAACACCTTATTAGGGACTGAAACATGATCTCTACTACTGCATCTTAGTCAAACCAAGTTTAGAAAGTTCTAATGGATAATGTATACAACAATCTTTAACACACTTAGAAATCCAAATACCACATCAAACGAGATGATGACTAGGTATATACTGACGATTGAAATATATACGTGACTCATTCACCAGGTACTTGAGTATGAGCCATACTATAAATGTAAAGGCTTATATATATATATATATATATATATATATATATATATATATATATATATATATATATATATATATATATATATATATATACAACGTGGGACCAGGCACATATGTGCATCGGTCCAGGTTGCCATACCGCATCAGCACAACAAGATGAACACCGGATTCATAGCAGTGGTTATGTCAAAGGTGGTAATATATAAGAGGAAGATTGCATATAGAAATATAGTACAAGAAAAAAATTGGTTCGTAGAAAGAAAGGTATGAAGCGATTTTAATCTCTTAGTTTAAGGGAAGACAGGGAGTGTATACACCGACGCCATTGTGATCGATATATATATATATATATATATATATATATATATATATATATATAGAAAGGCTAGTATATTATATAAGTCTTCCTGCTAATATTTGGTTGCCGTATGTAATTTTTGAGGTGGGGCATGAAAAAGACACACGTAAGACTAATTTCAGAACAAACCAGTGAGATTTAAGATAGCGATTCTTGGATTTTGGCGCAAAATCTATTCATCCATATGGTAAAGTAGCACTTTGGCATTAGAACTGATGTCAATTCACAGTGAAAACACTAACTCTGATTACTAACCCTAACGTTGAACTTTAAATTCTAATGCTAGTTACACTCACTAATTCACAACCCTTTATTAACTGTAGTAAGAAGCTGAATATTCTCCAAGTTACTTTAGCATCGCATCAAGGTCGTCCATAAATTATGCTCTCATCTGTATTACTGAGAGGTAAGCCTTGATACGCCATTGAATAACATGGTCTGAAGATAGATTACATATACGGTTATAAACTACTTCAATATTTTAAATTTAAGCACTGGTGTGTTCGGATTATACGGACTAGTGACTATGCACCGAACCAAGTAGTAAAAACCTCTCGGTTTTACCTAATTCTGACAATAATCCTAACCTTCATAAGACATACAAACCTGAACTGTATGGAGGATTGTGCGAATCTAGACGAAGATACACGTATGCCAAACTCCTCAACAATGAAATAACTATCTAATAATCGATATTGTACAGTACCTAGTGTCTGAGACAATGACGTTCTTTTCACACTATACCGGTATGGTGAAATTTTGGTAGATATGGAAGTTTGAAGATGGTTTTACATATGGATTTTATCATCTCAGATACACTCACGCACTTTCCACCCTTAAATCTTGTCGACAAAGATGAATTCTTGTATCCAGCCCCCAAATGTTCTGGTACGGCCGAGGATGAGGAGAGTCAGCTTTTCCTCTCCAAATGCTCTCACATGACCATGCGTATACAGCCACTGCCGAGGAAGTCCTACTCACTATCTTCTCTCTGTCTATCGTGATGAACCAATAGAGCTATATTGGCTGGAACAATCGTTCCTCAACGTCCTACCATGTCAGACAGGTCGGTTGAAGAGCGGTAAGAATAAAAGCAACAAACCCAAGGTCCGAGAACGAACTCGTACTGCCGACTGTACAGAGGTGCAACGACAGTAAGATGTTTTCTTCAGACAACCAGAATAACAGCGATACTACCTTTCCACAAGGAGGGGTGGGGTTAGAAAAGGTCGACCCTAGAATGCACACCTCGCCTTATCCCATGGATATCCGTCTCCGGAGGTAAGGTCTCAGCAAGTACGGAGCTAACACGAAAATTATTCATATAAAAGGTTGTGTGACCGACCTCAAGCAGTTGTCCCTTGATCACTGCGGTCACGCTCTTAGATCACTAAGACGACGCGTAATGCTGACTAGTGTAGGGGATGGTTGGAAGAAAGTTAGGGGTGGCCAAACTAAAACGTAGCATCAGTCATTGAAGTCACTAACCTCTAGTTTGAGCCATGTTGGTAGACGCAGACTACTTGGTTGGGGTTCGCGTGATTACTGTGACCAATGGTTGAAGACTCTGGGTGATATGACTCGAAATCGATCACAACGGCGTCGGTGTATACACTCTCTGACTTCCTTTAAACTATGAGATTAAGATCGCTTCATATTTTTCAACGAACTAATTATTTCTTCCTGTACTATATCCTTAGATGCAATCTTTCTTTTATATATTACAACCATTGAACTAACTACTTCATGAATCCTGTGTTCATCTTGTTGTGCTAATGAGGTATGGCAACTTGGACCGATGCACACATGTACCTGGTCCTACGTTGTAGTTGATTGACTGTGTCGTTAATGAAATTGAAGACAAAAAGATAATGTCCGGCGCTCTAACCGAGTTGGTGGATATGGAGGATTCACCCAGGGGAGTTGGAAAATCCTGATTCCGAACCAATGGTGCACATAGGCTCCAGGATCCTGAGAGAACAAATGGCGTATGAACCTATTGTTGTTCACCGACCACCATGGGGACTGCATCTCCTTAAGTTGCTCCCCTGCCTTGTGGATTAGACCTTTAGGTCAAATGCTCCGGGTGTGACTCCCTAAGAAAACCACCTGCTTCGGATTGGGCACCCGGGTAGTATCATAGCCCACACACAAATCGAGTGGTCTGTGTGGCGCATAATTATTCGGTGCCCTTCTGTACCAGCATTTATGTTCAAATAATTAAAAAATAAAAGCCCTCTGGAGATTGATAAATTACCTAGGAACCCAAACAACCGAACCAAATTAAGGAAACATAATCTTATAGATCGAGGATACTGATAAGACAGTCTTTTAGACAATTAGGGAAGAAAGGTAAGTGAAGTGATCCATTAGGATGCTCATTTTAAGATGAGAAGTGAAGTAATTAAATCGAGCACCACGCTGACTTTTGAAGTCAAACATATTGAGCATCAGTAAATACAAACAATGGTGAGTACGTGTTTAATTACTAAATACGGAGTCTAGTGTATTTATCATAAGACATTCTTACGAGTTGTAGAAAGCTAAGGTATTAGTCACATTGATTGAATCAACAAAGTGCAAAATAAATCCTAATAAATAAGCTTTGTATGTGTAACACCTAAAATTTATCAGTGCTACTGATAAATCTGCCAACTGAACGCTTGACCCCATTTTCTAGCCGCTCCTAATAACAGACTAAATCTACATGGCAATTTGAACACAAGAAAAAAGGAGAGGAGTGCAAAACTAGAGTGATGAGAAGGACTTATCAAAATGGTTTATTCACAGTTAGATTAACAGTCAGATCAGTAAAAACTGAACTGAGTCGTAATTAACAGTAGTAATTCAATAGCTTTCTGTATGAACACATATTTACAATTAACTATCTAAAAGATGTGATGAATACATGTCACAAACGATTAGAAAAAGAAACCAATTCCATGTGCCATTCGCATTCCAATTTGTTAAGCTATTACGCGCCACATCTGGAGACCGATTTTTGATAGACCTGTGGTATGATGATACCATATAACTATGGTATCTCCTAGTTCCCTAAAATCTGAGCTACTTAGGGATACACTGGGCATAAGTGTTCGTGTTTAGTGAGGCGAAATGATAAGTCACCCAGATTTAACTTCAATTAAAAATATAAACTACTGCTGACTACAGAAAATGCTAATTTCTACATATCTGGTCAATAATTTGAACAATGATCATTGTTTATCAACATTAGTTCTTCACTTTCCAGGCTTTTTAAGAGAAAAGTATAAGTTACAAAATGCTGAACCTACTAAATTCAATCAAATATTTTCCATAACCTTTTCGTTGAAAAGGTGGAAGTACTAAGATGCATGCCACATTGTAATCTTCAGAAGATTCTTTTTCTTTTGAGAAATATCCAACTAGATGGTAACCACGAGAGTCTATTTCACAAAGAACGTAGAATAAGAATGGATCTGTATCATAATACAAGGTTTTGTGATCCAGGAACAGTTTCGCAAGTAGACAAAGGTGTTGAGCATAAGTCTGAAAATAATCATTTCAGTTGAGTGAACCCACTTTATTTTTACGTCCATCGATTTCGAAAAAACTGTGAGGCAGTTTGCGGTAAACCTCGTTTCCAGGAGGATTTCTTAGTGTACATTTAGCCTAAAAGTAAGGAAAACTGATAATAATTCAAACCAAGTGTCTGCGCAGACATGTGAAGCTTTTCAAATACTTCAGACAGAATTCGCATATATATACACACGGAACACTTGCTAATTCCTGTGGATATGGGGAAAAGTACCATGGTTTAATTCGATATCTTCCTAATTCAATCCATTCCAGATTTCTCATTCTCGTAACAGTATCCTGTTCATGGTGGCTAGAAACCATACTGCCTGTTTGTCTGGGTTTTCCAGCTGACGTTGGAGAATCATCGAACACAAGATCATTCACGTCATTCTGTAGCGTTAAATGTATGGGTCCTTCATAGATATCGTCAGGTGGTCGTTTTCTTTTCAGTTGAGTCAAACTAGAGGAGCTGGAGCTACGATATTTCAGAGGAGGGTTCTAAAAAACAGATCAATCTTTGATGAAAGCACAAACCAAATCCGAATCTGTCGCTCGGAGCTCCGCTGAACTAATAACTTCATCCTCAGTGGAGGATAAGCTGAAAACAGGTGTGACGGGTTCTTTGGTCGATTTCTTTAGTGGTCGTTCTATTTTAGAAAAGTCGAGGCGGTCGGCACTAACCCATTCATCCAGCCGTTTATTATCTTACAAGGGAAAATGAAGAAATTATAAAGGCTTACAGTCATCATAGTGAACGTAATAGTATGTACAATCACCTACATCACGGGTACCCAAAACCTCAGCATTATCTAGTAATGTTATTTACACGCAAAAGTGTGTTACGGAAAAAGTCGGAGTCCGGTAATTTTACCGGTAGTTTGCAACCCTCAATATTCTTTTTTGAGTTTGAAACGACCATAGTTAAAAAGGATGGTCAAGCAAACAAAGCAACATCAGCTCGACACATGTACCGCAATATATATATTTCCCGCTCTCGTTAATCCTCAGCATTAAGTGCAATATGTTGGTTAAATTGTGTAATATATTTGTCACATCTCGTCTCAAGGATATCCACTGATGCGGCTGTAGTCACTTGACTGGGAGAGCAGTCAGATTGTGAGCAAGTCTTAATGAGAAAGAATGAGAGCGTTTATGGGTGTTTGCTCTTTGGTGTGTAGTCTCCGAGGTTAAACTCAAGGAGGGTGGTGATGATGTTATGGTATCATACTCGTGTTGAGGCGGCTTGACATACCTAAGATTTTGTATTCCAATATAAGGTCATCGCTTATTGTACTGTAGCTCAACGAGAATAATTCCAGGTGTTGGACTTTGTCCTTGTAAGGTTTATTTTCAAGACCTGTCACCCATTTGATTCTCCAGTTTCATGTTTAGTTCAAGAGATTTATATCTCTTTTGAAGAGATGAGGTGAAGCGACATTGTGGACTTCAAGGTAAGGACTTGTGTGCGTTTTAAACAGTGCTAGGAACAACGTTGGGATAGTTGCGCCAAGTTATATAAGCATAGAGCGGTGGGTTGAGTTTGCCCCGCATCCCGTTTTCATTTTCACCCAGTGCATGCATTCTGTGGCTAGTAGTTCAAGATTGTGTACCGAAGAAACAATGAAGAGTTGATTTTCACGAAGTACGTAAGTTCTTCATTTCAAATGGGGTCGTGTGTTCACGAAATGATATCCCAAAGGATTAAGTTTTAACCTACGGTTGACTGCCCATTCTTCCAAAGTCGTGAGCTCCCTTTGAAGCCCAAATGAATCCTCTTAGCTTTATACAGACCTCCATACTTTCACGTCATCCACGTAGATTACTGCCACTCAGTCAATTTCGTTTAGCAGGTAGTTAATAAAGATCAAGACCAGTAGTGGACTTAATATTGTCCCCAGTGTAACTCCTGATGTTGAAACCATTCAGCTTATGTGCACTCTATATACCTTGGTTCAAAACAGTCTGTTCCCTAGGTAGTTTTGGAACCAAGATAAAAGTGGATCAATATAAACCATCTCTGTAACTTTCTTTATGAAAATTACATTTAGTTCTATGCCCATGGCTTTTGTGATGTCAAAGTAAATTATATAAACCGATATCACCTGATCCCAGCATGTTGTTCAACTGTCCCATTCTATGAAGAAACTGGACGCACAGGACCTGTCTCTACTAAAACTGAACAGTCGTCCCAAAACCTTTGACATTATTAATAGTAACGCTACTTGTCTGTAACAGGCCGAACCTTTTCTATATCACTCTTCAAAGATTTGATAGAATAGCCTATCCCAGCCTCTCAGAAGTTACTGTGAATCTGGTTAGTGCTTGAACAAGTCACACAGCGGTGTGCTGGTGACTTCCGTGCATTGTTTCAGGAGTATAGATCGGGTTTTGTCGCATTCTAGTGACCTGAAGATAATTAGATATTACCAGGGCCATCAACTGATACAAGAGTCAAGGAGTGTTCAGTTCTTCCAGATTCCTGATTTAAATAGCCTGTAAGCTCTTCATATAGTTTCCACATATTTGAGCAGTTTTTACAAGAAATGAGTTTCTGAGTAAACGTTGAATTCAGACGTCTAATCTTTTGGTTTATTAGGTCATTCAGCTTTCGAACCTCATTGGAGTTTTTCTCCCCGTACATTCTTCTTTTTCCCCTTCGTGATTGCTTTAGTTGCAGGGATGTAATCCAGTCAAAAATTGCAAAACTAGTTTCAGTCTAACGACAAACGTCAAAACAAAATTCAAGATAACAAGTGACAACATAAATGGGGTTTTTCAATGAGTCATTAGAAATAAACCCCAGTTTGTTATATAAGATATGTTTCTCAGATTTAAGATATTTTCGTCTGAGTATTCCCGTATTTAAATTTATTTGTCCGATGTAAGAGTGCACTCTTTCCAAGCTAGCCACATACTTTATGTAGGATGCAAGTATCCCAATGTTTAGAACTAAACAACAGAGCACGTCCACAAGTCACACATAATTCCAATTCAATATTGAAAACAAGTTTTAAGTGCTCGCCCAGAGCAGTGGAAAAATCGATTACATTTCGGTGATATAGTGATGAAAGATAGTTATAATCGCCTGAAGCAAATAACCACATATGACTGTAACTGAACTATTGATAGGAGTAACAGTAAATCCGATAAATTCTTGATTTTGGTAGTTACCCATCATTATATATATGGAAAAGCACAACTAGCGGTTGTAGTGTGTCTTAATTTAGATAGTAGAACGGAGGAATCGAAGCGCTAGGTCCGAATTTAAACTTACAAAACTTTTAACATCCAATATAGGATATGCAGTATAAGGTACCAAATACAAAACTTAGGATATAATGTTTTAAAATTACGTAAAGATTCTCCGCTAACTTTTAACCACCCTACTTATGCCGTTACATCAGCCTCCTCTGAAAATCAACCCATGGGAAAAGCCGTTTGATAAATTCATTAAACCAAAACATGTCGGTTCGATTATTGTAGCCTAATGAAGAATCACTCCATCGCTCAGTGTGTGACCTTCCCATGCACTGTTCGGTTATCAAGTGTTTTTTCGACTGACCATTGAACTATTCTACGGTCAGAAATAAAGAATTCGACTATCAACCACCTAACTTAAGCTATTACAAATTCATACGCGAAAGCAGATAGCACAGAAAACGTGTGTTCCGGGGTTGGGGAAACGAAAGTTAAGTAAACATGATTGTGTCTGCTGGAGTTTTGAACGTCATTCTAAGGTTAAACAGTCGACTGTCAGTTGAAAACTTGAAACGCTGATTTACGTTACATCTCAACCGCTTAAAAGTTCTGGAATCGAAATTTGATTAAAGCTCACACTTTTCAATGCAAATCGCCAGCCGCCGCTCTTTCTGGTTATACTTTTTTGTACCGTGTAAAGCGAATGATCGTTAGTTCTTCATATACGCTTCCGAATAAGTTATGTGAATAATGAACATAACTGGTGTGTTAAAACAAGCAAAAATGACAATTTATTGAAATCACTACAATCTCCACAAAACTCCTCTCTGATACTTATTGAAAAATCTAAATTGTTGAAGGAACAGGCAAATCAGATATTCATGCAGGCTGCCTACTTATATGAATATTTCCATTTTTATTGGGCTCATGAATAAGGCACCTGCCTGGTATTCTCCTAGCACTAAAACATGCAAATCCAAATTGCATTCTTTCAACGAGGTTCAACCCTTTTGGGCTGTCTAAGAATGCAGGGGACATTATTTTCATTTAACTTGCATCGTGAAGCATTTAAATACTCTTGATGTTACCAGCACCTAATAACACGGCAAAGAACTTTTGGAAACTTAAGTCCAATATCTCCATACGAAAAGGATAAGCGGCTATATGAAATGATCAAGCATCAAAGTGCTACAGAGTACAAATGGACGGACGAATAGTTAGCCAGCTACTGAGTCCATAAGCACGTAGTAGTTTGGATTTTATTAATGCTTAAAATTTTACAGCTCCTCAGTTTTAGACCTTATCAATACAACGAGCTTATCCGTCTTATCACAACATTAGTAACAATACACCACGGATGTCATATTAGCCTCACGATCAAAATGGTGTTTCTGTAAGCCCGTGGTACTATTTAGCAACTACCTGCCAAAGAAATATACACAGTCAAGCAAAACTGTCCGGAAATTTATTATATACTGGGCGGCATTATCAAGACGATGGTCATCAGCCTTGGCAAGATAGAATAGTTAATTTGGGGAACATGTTAGTCCCTGAATCTATTATCTGATTTACTGAGCTCTTTCCCTGTAAAATCCAGACGTTTTAGTATGCTATTAATTGGCCAAACTTAGATGATTAAAGTAATCTACACGATACTCATAATCAGGTGACGAAATTAACCTAACCTTAACACGACCTAGAGAATAAATGTCAGATCTATATGTAATTTATTCAGAAGTACTACTGAGGGTTTAAAACCAATAGCAATAGAATGTACAGTGCCTGATTTTGCATTAAATGCATTACATTCATTACTTGAATCAATTAGTTTATTTTCAGAAACCCATGTCAGATGAGATTAGCAACCAGTTCAAGGTATTATTCAGCATTTGATGAATCTTCTTAAATAGCTTTCGCTCGGTCACTAGTTTCTGAACAGAGTCTAATCGAAAGATTGGGTTCATCAACATCTGGTAAATGACTAGCTAACTATACATCAACAGCTTTATTTACAACTTCAGTATTCTGAATTATGTTTGTAAATTGATTACACCTGCACATCTATTCATTAACGAACTAACACCATCTCAAGCTAACGTCAGAGTGTCAAAACCTTTGGTTGGGTAAATTCCCTTTAGTTGTTAGACGTCTTGTCGATAGTTCTAGAACAGACATAGGGTTTAATCCATGGTCTGATTCTAGGGATATCATGACATTTTTATGTACCTATAAGTTATCAGATAAGTTAATTAATTTATAAGATTTGCCATTTACCTGACGGCTGCCATCTCACGTGACTCATGTGACCTATCAGGTGCCGAATTGCAAATGTTTGTATCAGGACCTTTCTTATTTCTATGTAACTCTGAGGTATTGTTTTTGGCTGATCTGGTTAAAAGCATGACCAAGTACACGAACTTCATTTCCTCAAACACCCTATCATCAAGAAAATGCATCTTAGGCACCCTGACGAACGTTGATAACCTGATTGATAATCACGAAACGTTTCAGGAGTATATTCAGGAACTATGGGGGATGAACCAATGAAAATTAATGACTGGCCATGCCCTCAAGTTAGCATCACGTTTATTATACAAATCCTCGTACAAATAAGCATTGGTATTACCTGAACTTACAACACAACAGTCGCCCCACGTACAAGTCTCTTTGCAAAGCTCGTTATGGTGACAACTATCCCAATTCACCCATCCAAATTCATAT